ATATAACATTGTATAAGTTTAAGATGTACAATGTGTTGGTTCAATGTATATTTCAATATGATTATCATCATGGAGTTAGCTAACACTTTCACATACCATTTAGTTGGAATATGAAAGTGGAGAAATCAGGAAAGTGAAGATGTAGGGTAGTGGAGAGAAAAACAGGAGAGACCCTGAAATAGTTCTGTAAAGGGCAAGATAGTAAAGGTTGTTGAGTTGCAGGCTATAGGGTCTCTGTCAAAATTTGTAGCATAAAAAGCAGACATAGACGATATGCAAATAAATAGGCATGACCCCATTACAATAAAATTTAACAAAAATAGAGAAGGGAATTGAATTTGACGTGCAGGCCGTGGTTTGCCAACCCCATGTCGAGGATGATTCAAACACCCTGGGGCTTTCCGATGAGGCTCTTCATTGGTTTGCACTCAGCGTGGAAGTGTAGAGCATCCTATCCATGGAGACACTAACTATAATAACCTCTTCTCTTCCCTGTTCCTCCAGAAAATGGATCTCAGCTACAGTCAATTATAGTGTGTGAGAACACATGTGGTCAATGACAGGAACTTCAAGGCATGGAGACCTTACCCCAAGGAGCTTGGTATCCCTTAAAGGTGTGTTAAGATCTACCTCTGCCTCTAGAGAATCCCTCAGAATTTCAGTGTGCTGGCAGTCACACTTCACCATTTGTTGACAGACTGCTATAGAAATGTCCTTTCTCAGAACAAAAGTAGCATGTTAAGCAGGGGGAATCCATACTGCAAGCATATTTAGATGCGGAAACCTGTGTAGGTCTACAGTCCCACAGCAGCTAATAAAGGCAGTCTGATGTTATCACTGAGCAAATGCTTAATGACAGTAGAGTGTATATGAATGCCTTGTGGTACAAAAGAAAGAAAAAAGCCAGTTACCATTCTACAAAGACAGAACATAATATATATTGTCACTGGCCACAGAGGCACGTAACTCATGATGTCATCCTGGCCAGTTTTCAGAGCTCTTCGCATGGTCCACAAAACTCACAGTGTCCTTACACTCACCGAGACTGCTCAAAATGTTACTACCTGCAACAATTCATATATGAAGTCAGAGACAGATCAGAGATTCCACGTAGTTTCCTGACTTTCCAATGTCCAAATGTCCCCAAGGCCCTGTGCTGTTAGACTGCATCTCAGATCTAAAACACTTCCATTTACAGTGGAGAATTCCATCATGCAAAACAAAAACAAAAAGAAAAAAAGCACATTTCATTCCGTATCCTGCCAACAATGTGCTGAATTTGGCTTACACCAGCTTGTCAGAGCCAAATGTCGAATTTTCAGAAACTTTGTGAGCTAAATGACATCATGCTGTAGCTTAAAATCAGCCATCTTGGGAGCATTTATTTCACAAACACCAGCAAATACTACAAATCAAGATCTTCCTTTTTCCGGGGAACTAGGTGTTCCACATTTACAGAACACCACTGACCCTGTTCCTGCCCTACTGCACCAGCCAGAAAGTCCTTGGTTTTTTTAATCGGATATTCCATTTCTTGAACTATCTAGTCACTTTATCACTAAGTTCTAAATTCTCAATGTCTTTCATTTTGGAATCTACCTCTTTATCATCCTCCCCCTGTCACAGAACAACAAAGAAACAATAGAAATCAGCTGTTACATCTCCCGCCAACAACACATCTGGTCCACACGTCAGAGTATCCGTCACTCATGATATTCCTACAGCAGAAACAGCTATTATCACTAAGATCATTCTACATCCCAATCCACCACCTACAAAACCTCCGAAAGGAGGGAAAATACTTTTTAAAAGTTTAAATTTAAAAGCAGGCATTTGAAAAAAAAATTAGCGATAAAAATTTTAATTCTAGACTGTGTCAAAAGGAGCACATTCCCCATAAGAAATACAGAATAAGACTAATTCCTCAGACAAGCTGCTTCTGCAAAGTTGAGAAGAGCAGCTGTGAATGTTGGCTTCAATCCAGCTTGATAAGTTAGGGATAGTCTGCTGCTGTTCATGGAAAATTATGACAGGGATTGTTTATCCCTTATGGTTTTCACTTGATTTCTCTCTCACAAAAAGGGAAACAAGCCTTGTTCAAAGTGTAAAACTTTCTAGACTGCAATTATAACATAAGAGGATGAATCCTATTTTTTCTTTTTTTGTATAACTGTACTGCTTTTGCTTTCTCCCCCATTTTTTGTGCTTAATGAGACAGAAAGAAATACTGATATGAAAGTGCAGATTTATCAATTGATTGTTCCTAAAATTTACACATAAAATGCTATTTTGACTAAATATCACTCTCATTAGACAGCCATAATGTATAAATTCTACCATTAAAGCATCATTCTTTTTGTTTAAAAAAGTTCTATGTTAAACTATTCATATTTTAATCTGAACCAAATTATCCAAAATTTTAAAAACTTAGACATTCTTTACACTACAATCTTTGTATACTCAGAGTTTATGAGGTCCTGGACTGCTTTAAAGGAATACATATATGGGCCTTAGACTTACTTGATCAAGAGAGTTCATGAAGGATACATGGTTCCTCTAAAGTGTCTCTGAAGATGGTACCAGAACAAGTTTATCTCTATATAGCAAGGTAAGAAGTTAGATAATATGCCCAAGATCACACAGCTAGTAAATGGTAGAGCTAAGAGTTGAGTCAAGATCTAATTTCAAAATTTTAGTATTTACCCTATATTGTATTGCTTAGTGGAGTAGAAATGAGGATTTAATCTCTGGTAATATGCAACAATCCCAGGGATTATGACATGTCTTTGTTCTAAATGACAGCTATGCTAGATTATGAAAATGTCATCTGGTATTCTGCAAAAATCCTTGGCCAAACAAAGCATGATCTAAGAATTTCATTTGCTGTTTCTTGAAGCCCATGTATTAGAAATCGACAGGAGGTGATAATGATGCTTTTCAGTTAATAGTGCTTGCGTTAGTTTCCCATGGCTGCTATAACAGATTATCACAAATTGTGTGCCTTAAAACAACAAAAACTTATTTCCTCACAATTCTGGAAACAGAAGTCCAAAATCAGTGTCAGCAGGACTGTGCTCTATCTGGAAGTTCTGGGAGAGAATCCTTTCCCTGGCACCTCTACCTTCTGGTGGCTGTCGCCATATCTGGTGGCTGTCGCCATATCATTGCCTTGTAGCCATATCTGTCTCTGCTCTGTCTCCACATGGCTTTCTCCTCTGTTTGTCTGTATTATCTCCCTTTGCCTCTCTCTTATAAGGATATTTGTAATGGCTTTTAGAAACCACCCGGATAATTCAGGGTAACCACCGTATCTCAAAACCCTTAACTTAATACATCTACAAAGACTCTTTACCCACATAAGTTACCATTTACAAACTACAGAGATGGGGACTTAATATCTTTGGGTGCTCATTACTCATTATATAACACTGCAGTAGTATATTTGGTGAAATCTATTTTTCATTCACATACAAGAGAACTGCATGTAGTGGTAGTTAGATGACTCTATTTGTGCTTCCTTAGAAAAAAAATGGACAGGAGACTACCCTTTATATTTTTTTCTTTTCCATATTCCTACCATCCTCTCCACTCCCTATTATCCCCCACTCCACCTTCATCTCCTGCAGTTGGGCCAGTTCCCTACTGGAACTGTTTCTGGAGTACAGGTTAGCTGTAGACTGTAAGTAACACTGCCTTAGACGCTGCTATGAATCCTACACTTTGGAGGCACCTGCTCTAGCTTTACTGATGCTGTACCTTTCCTCCACAAGGAAGAGTCCATAGATCAGGAGAAGTGCCCACCTAGGGCTCATGCCCTTACATCTCCCATTCTAGACCACATTCCAGAGACCTGCAATCTTGAAATTCTCTGCCCAAGGATCTCCTAAGGCTTCCTTTCCAAAGATGGAATGCGTGGCCAGTGTAGACACTCCTAGCTCTAAGAGATGACCAAGATGAGGCTATATAAGGTATGGATTCACTTGCTTGAACAGACTGAAACATCTATACACGTGCACTCCAGGTCAGAGCCAGGCATGGAATGTGAAGGTGGGAGGCCTAAAGGCTGAGTTTCCATGCATTCTTTGACCCAATGCCCTGCAAATATCAGAGGTGGACCTGGTCCTAAGGACAAGAATTGAGGCAGAACCAGGTATGACGTGAGCTGCCCTTTGGATTCTTCATGACATGCTTGAAGAACACAGAATACCAGATAGTTGGAAATAGCTCAGTAACTACTCACCGATTTAATTTCTAACAATACTAAAAATATGTAATGCTTGCCTTAAGATATTAATAGCCATAATAATGTTCATACTTTTTGACTCAACAATTTTGCTTGCTAGAATTTAGTCTTTGAAAATATTTCAAAATAGAGAAAAGTCATTACATAGAGATTTTCATCCCCAAATTGTTTTGCTTTTTAAGTAAATAAAAAGTGGAACATCCCAAATGTCCAATAATAGACACATGGCTAAATAAACTGTATATTGAAATCAACATAATGGAGCTTATAAAAATAATATTTACAAATTTCTTTAATAACATGGAAAATTCTTATAATATTGAGTAATAAATAAAAGAAATATGACATAAAATTATAACGAAAAATAATCTCAACTAAATGCAAAATAATTCTAGAAAAAAATGACTTCAAGGAAATAACAAAATGTTAATCTGGGCCCACAGATTAGATTATTTGTATTACACTTTATAATTTAACTAACAAATTGTCTACAGTGACATACATTACTTTTGCAACAAGATTTTTTAAAGCAACATTAAAAATACAACATTGAGACCACATACACATTGTGTTTACTCT